GCCTGTGGTCCCAGCTACTTGGGAGGCGGAGGCAGGAGACTCGCTTGGGCCCAGGAGTTGGAGGTTGCTGTGAGCTGTGATGCCACAGCACTCTACCAGCTTGAGGCTCTGTCTCAAAAAAAAAGAAAAAAAAAACTTAAATCAATGAGGCAAATCATAGTATTGCCCACTTTTTTTTTTTTTTAAATTTTAGAGAGAGGGTCTTGGCTGGGAGCAGTGGCTCATGCCTGTAATCCTAGCACTCTGGGAGCCCCAAGCAGGTGGATCACCTGAGCTTAAAACTCCAGCCTGAAAAAATAGCTGGACATTGTGGCAGGTGCCTGTAGTCCCAGCTACTCTGAGGCTGAGGCAAGAGGCTTGCTTGAGCCCAAGAGTTTGAGGTTGCTGTGAGCTATGACACCATGACACTTTACTGAGAATGCTGAGGGTGACAAAGTCAGACCCTGTCTTAAAAAAAAAAAAAAGAGAGAGAGAGGGAAAGGGTCTTGCTCTGTGGCCCAGGGTGGAGTGCAGTGGAGGGATTGGCAACTCCTGGGCTCAAGTCATAATCCCCTATCTGCCTCCCGAAGTGCTGGGATTACAGGTGTTAGCCACCATGTGAGGCTATTAATCAGATTCTTGAAGCAGGGAAGCAGGATACAATGGAGATTTAGAGGTGTTTACATTCTGGCTGTCACCTCACTAGCTGTATTACTTTGGATATGTTGATTTGTTTCTCTGTCTACAAAATGGGAATAATGGTACCTCCTCCTTAGTATTAAATGGTTAAGTGTGCTACTGGCAAAGAGCCAAATGTTTGTCGTTTTTTTTTTTTTTTGAGACAGAGCCTCACTATGTTGCCCTCGGCAGAGTGCCATGGCGTCACAGCTCACAGCAACTTTAAACTCTTGGGCTTAAGTAATCCTTTTGCCTCAGCTTCCCGAGTAGCTAGGACTACAGGCGCCTGCCACAACGCCTGGCTATTTTCTTCTGGATGCAGTTGTTATTGTTGTTTAGCAGGCCCCAGCCGGGATCGAACCCACCACCTTTCGTATATGTGGGCGGCGCCCTATTCACTGAGCTACAGGCGCCAAGCCATGTTTGGTCATTTTTTATTAAGCAGTAGGGCATCACGTCGGACAGCCGAAGCCTCTTCAAGAGTGGGATGGCAATGTTTCATTTAGGAAAAAATTCCAGGCTGAAAAATGGGGCCGTTGGGCTGGAGCTAAGAACATTCTGCTCGAATTAGCAATATTTATGGAATTTTGCGTAACCTTCAAGTTCTACTATTTATTTTAGAACCCAGACCCCGTCTTCCACTCGGTGGATTCAGAACACCTTCCTGATTCACAGCTCACTAGTCCCAAGGCATCAGCTACACCGCCAACATCATTTTGGGTAAATGCTGTCCACGGTCCCCACGGCTGGGAAAGCGTCGGTGCAGAACCTCCTAGCAGGACTCTCTCCAGTTCCTTAAGTTTCACCTACTTAATCTTAGCTGGGGCACGCCATTTCCTAGCGCAAACCCCGCCGCCAGCGGGTCACCTTGACTACCGGGCCAAGGACCCCGTGGGAACTCCCTTGTTGCTCGCGCGTCGTTGGAGGGGTGCCCAGCGAGAACACCTGCGTGACAAAAGCCTAAACTGAGGGTGACGGGCTTGGAGAAGAGTAGGACAAGAGAAGAAAGATGACAGTTGGGAGAAGATGTTGGTTTCCTTTATGCTTTTTGTTACTGACTGCAGTAGAAACGGTAGACGATGTTTCAAAAAAAAAATTTCAGACAGGCATTTTCTAAAGGCAAGCCCGGAGCTCCCGGCTCTATAGAACCGCGGCAGGTCCTTTTTCCAGTCTCTTACGCATGCGCTCTGCAGCTGAGAAGGCGGGAGGCTAGGGTAGAGGGAAGCCAGGAACCGGAAGTGAAGGCAGATTCCCTCCTTCGTCGTTGTTGCTGCCGCCATACGCTCTCGCCCTGCTTAGGTAAGCTTTGGCCTTCACTACCATCCGTGTCCATCTGCGCCTTTTTGTATTCATCCTGCTATAAGGGCTCATAATACCCCTTTCACAGACGATGTTCTGGTCGCTGGAGACTCGTTTGCTCGTTATTTCCATAGCTTGCACCCCTTTCGAAAGCAAAGAGCTCGGGGGGGGGGGGGGGGAGGAAGGAAAGGTAGGAGGATCATATTCAAGATGGTGTCCTTGGCGCCATTGTGTTCCCTTTGCTCCCGGCTCCATTGGGTCCCTCGCGTATCGGAGGCCCCAGCGTCAACGAGAGGCGGCGCTAGGCGTTCTCTGATCCTGGGCATTTGCGGAGGGCGGGGCTCTTCTCACCTCTCTTCTTTTGGTCCGTGGTGGGACCTGGAGGAGGAGCCGGTTTCTGGGCCCAGTTGGGTTTTACTTATTCCCACCCGCCTAATCTCATTTGGACTGCTTTCCGAATGTTTAGGAGCAGTGCTATTGTGCGTTTATCGAAAAGGAGTCTTTCCTGAATAGCACAACCCATGTAAACTAGCTGGTAAAGCTTCTGTTAAAGCTGGGACGGTATATGATCTCTGTCTCAACTATTAGTTTCTTTTTCGTGGTAGGGTGGAGAAATTTTTTTTTTTTTTGACGGAGACATTTCTCTTACACTATTTTTTCTAGTATCGTTAATTACACAGGGATTTCTTAAGCAATAAAAAGAGGGTACTGATGAGTGGGAGGTGGATGGCAGCCATATGATGTTTTTATTGAGAAGTGAGCGCTTTGCGCAGTGATGACCTTAATCTATCACCCTTGACTGATGGCTGCTGAGTTAGGGATCCACACTGTGGGATTATAGGGAAGTCTGAAGTCTT